AAAAGTGAAAAAATAATAAAAATAATTATAGATCCAATTAAAGAACTTCAAATAAATTAACAGGAGGAAAGTCTTTCCGCTCTCAATCCAAAACTGCTACCACATTTGCTCAATAAAGCACTGAAACAACACTAGGCTAAAAGTTTATATTTCATCATCGGCCTTTAGGAGAAGAATAAGTGCCTGTAAAAGTGGAAGGCTTTTCCTCTCTGAAAGGTTGAGTGGATTCCTCAGACACACTGGGCAGCCTCGAAACACTTCCTTTCCCCTTCCTTGCATTTGGTCCAATTTCCTCTATCATGTACTTCCATCCATCAATGGGCCTCCTTCGGCTAAATATGTGCGTTTTTATGAAGCTCGCGATCTGAAAACCACATCAAGAAAAAATGAACAAAACCACATTGATAAAAAGCATACCACTAAGGTTTAGCAAAACTATAACTGACAAGAAAGAGATCTCACAAGTTGTATATTACTTACATGATTTGAAAAAAGAATGGGATCAATGGTACTTTACAACTGATCTTTTTAAAGCTTAGCAGTACAATAGCAATTAAGTTGAGCTCTAACAACCTGGAATTTATTGAATGCAATACGGCGCTCGAATTCTTGAACTAAAATATCTTCTTCTCTTTGAGACATATCCCAAACATTGCCATCTTGAGCTTTTGATGTTGTTTCCCAGCCATCAGGCTTGTTTTTTAACTCTGAGCCAGCAGTTTCCGGGTCCCCAAAATCATTGTTTGCAGAATCAAATATCCTACATAAATTGGACATGTAGAATCAGACATGTCTGTAATATCTAAATTTTCCAGAAATGAGCTATTTAAGCATGACCTCAACCAGCACATAAACGATTTCCTAAACCTTCTCAAATTGCTATGGGGAGAGTAAGTCCACAGCAGTTAAGAACATGATCAAAAAACTTCTCAAATTCATATCACTATAAGCAACCTTAGTTCCAGTGGAGCAACATTGCTATGGGGAGAGTAAGTCCACAGCACCTCACACATGGACTCAAAACCTTCTTTAAATATGAATGGATCACTTAACTTTTTAATCTTTCAAGTGAAGTTGCATTTTGATATGCTTCAAAGAAATCCTCAAGAACATATAATACTGGCCAGTCCTGTTAAATAAATTCAAATCTCATGATTGACACGAATACTAAGCTTCCGAGTCCTAACTATGATTACCAATGTTTAAAACTACTGTGTGGTCATCTAAATTTGCAAATGATCACACTCAAACAGGAACAAAGAACAAAAAAACACTTGACAAGGTACAACAAGAGCCTAAAGCACCATCCCGAGTTCCAGAATCATATTCATAAGAAAACCATAAACACAATTTAGAAAACTCACAGAATGCAGCTTGCACTGTCAGAATGCAGCCAATTACAGCTAAAACTAAAACAAAAGTCTTATATATATAAAATATAACAAAGAGCTTTTCCTTCTTTTTTTTCTTATAAAAATGATAAGAGTGTGGAAAAGTGATATACTCAGAGGCGCTATCGAGTAGTTTCTCAATATCGTCATCGCCATAAACAGAATCCCCCAATTTAGCCTCCTCCATTTTCTCAATCTCCTTCGCCCACAGCCCCGCGTGTATTTTCTGCTTCGTCAGCCTATAATCTCTCTTGATGTTCTCCAAGCTGTAAAGCGGAGAAGAAGACGAAGATCCCAGTCCCGGCTTGCTGGCATCTCGATCGGTGTCCTTTTTGACCGATTTGCCCTTCCTCTGATCCCAGTTATCGTTCATGTCCTCCACAAAAGCCTGGGTCTCGGGATCCATCTGCTCCGTCGGGGAGGAGGGGGCAGTTTGGGGATTTTGATCCGCGACGGGAAGGGAGAGGCTGACATCGGACTCCCATGGGGCGCGTTGTGATTTTCCGGCCAAGTCGTTGGGAAGCCATGCTGTTTCCCAAGCGTCGTTCCACTCGTCCTCCCCGGTTCTGTCCTTGCCGGTGGTTCGATTAGTGGAGAATGAGCGGCCGGCAGTGGCGGCCGCCGTGGCGGTGGGGTTTATATTGAGGTTTTTTAGGGCGGAGGATAGCCTGCGAATCGGCGTCGTCATTTTCTACTAACATATTCCAATGGGGTTCAGCATTTTACTAGTGCAGTATCAGGTGGAATGCACAGTTTTTAGGTTATTTACATAGTCTTATTATTATATTTATAAATAAAAAAAATAAAAAAAAAAAGAATAAATAATACTATTACATATTATTAAAAATCTAGACAATATTCTATCTTCCCTGCAAACTAATATTTTCAAACTCTTTTAATTAGTGACACGGAAAATAGCTACATACAACTGGCTATAACTGAACACTGACTTTTCAAGAACATGCCAACATGTGATAAAGACTGACTATGACTCTTGTCAATCGTCATGACATGAGAAACCATTAGAGAAACTGCCTCTGTTGAAATTTTAAAGGTACTCTAAAGTCGGAAGGCGTTTGTCATCTGAGGTATCCACACCTTCAATTAATATAGCATTATGATTAAAATATTAGAAAGTCTTTTTGAAATTAAAAGATTAACTTAGTGTTTATTTATATTTTAAAAAATAGGTCGACCACGTATATATTTTTAATCAAATGAAAATTATTTTATACATGAATTACTGATACTGGTTCAATGTTGAAATATGCAATCAAGACATATATATATATATATATATATATATATATATTTAGTTTAGAATTTAAACGTTGTATTTTGTTTGTGCAATTATATTATTTTCCAAAATACTGTTGGGATTTTATAAAATCTAATGAGTCTAATAGATTATTCTCATAGTATTGATTTATGCAAAGGACGAACCAACAGTTCGTTGAAATATCCTATCTAACATATATAATTATTTAGTTTAGAATATAAATTGCACATTTTTTCTGTGCAATTGTATAATTGAAAATACTGTTGGGGTTATTAAAAATTTGAACAATATAATATATTTTTTCCATAGTAGTTATTTATACAAAGAAAAAAAAATTGGTAGATGATTTTTATCATCACTGGAATGGTATTTTCGAATCTATTAGAGTAAATAACAAATCTAAATATCAATCACAATTTAGATTAGAAAAATAAGTTCGACTAATATTCGACAATATATTAAAATTTGATTACTGATTTAATAATTTGGGAAATATATTAATTTTTTGAAGCTGTATATTTGTATATATTGAATTTAAATTTTCTGAAATAAGTCGTGTCTTTGTTTAATTTTGTTGTTATTGTAAGGAGATTGAATTCTTAAACTATATACAATCGTCAAGTTAATTTAAAAAAATTCTAAGGAGATTGGATTCTTAAATAAGTCCATCGCGATGTATTATTACATGTAAAAGGGTTGTTGGAAAAATATTTTTGAAAAGAGATTAGATTGATAATACTATAGATAGAATTCTTAAAAGGTAAATTTGTTTTATTTTTTGTACATGTAATAAGAACTTATTTAATTTGAAAATCATCATTTGAAAAAAAAATAAAAAATCGATGATTAAGAATTCTAATATTTTGAAATATTTTGTCGAATCAATTATTATATAGGATGCTTTTCAATATAGTATTCTTTGACCGGAAATATATAGAATATGTAAAATATATATATTTCGTTTTTCATTTTTTAAAATACACAAATCTTCAAACATATATAACAAATTTATGGCTTTGACCGAATATATAGTGATTTGGTGGAATTAATTTCGAATTTGAAAACATGTGATGGGTGGGAGAATCTAAAAAATGTTTTAAAAAAAACATTTCCATTATTAGTAAAAAATGAAAATTTGAGCGAAAAATTGTAATGCTATTTTTATATTTTTCTTATTGCTATTAGATAGTAAATAGATTATAAATTAAATAATAGTTATAACTTTGATTTTTTTTTCTCAATGTGATTTGTAAATTAACACACTGTTAATAGTTAAAATATTTTCTTTTTATTGAAATTGATCAGTGTCGTGGGGTAATAGGACCCATTCTAGTTCAAACAAAGGATAATAAACATTGATTTCACCCTATTTTTTACATTGTACATGATGATGTTATCTAGAGTTTTTTTACCCAATTTTTTTATTTCAATAAATTTCAATTTCTAGATGTTCTTTTATATAAGTTTTGACTTCGTAACATAGTTTTTTAAAATGTCACAATATAATATTAATTCAAACATATTTTTCATAATATATGTATAAGTTATTTTGTATAAACCTTATTTCGGGAGTTAAAATAAATTATTTAACCATTTTTTTCGTAAACTCCAAAGACTTAAAAAAATCATAATAGCCAAAAAAGGTTCCAATTAATCTTTTAAAAGAAAAAGACTACTGTAAATATAGGAATCAAAATATTCGCATTATTATAACATAAATAAGGGGTGGTAGTTGGTTATCCATTATCAAATGAAACATACTGCGATTATAGAAATTAGAAAAAACTAAAATTATTTAATTATTATTATGATACCAAAAAGAAATGTCACGTGATTATAGAAATTAAAACAAATTAAATTATTTAAATTGTTATTACCAATATGATACAAAATTTCCTTTTATAGTAACAAATTAATTTTTGGCGGGAAACTGTTACTATTTTAAAAATGATCAAACCTTTTTTTTTTTTATTTTTTTATTTTTTATCGAAACGGTAGATTGAATAGAACTGAAGAAATGTACAAAGTTCGACGGCTAAATAGCCTAACCCGACCGAAGTCAAATGAGAGGAACACACGCAGGTGCTCTAAATCAATACCCAACCTATAAATAACAAGTAGCCCGGCAGAGCAACAACATCTGATCCCAATGCAACTAACAGAACATAAACCCAACAATGATCAACTGACTAATGACAGCTAAAAATACAATCTCAAATCTGCAGACATCTATCCAACAACAGTAAGAAATAAGCAGCACGACCTAAAAACTAAAGTCTTTAACCATTGAACTTAAAAGTACCTAGTTGATCCTTAAGACTTTAGTCCCTGCTGTCTTCAAATTCAATCCATTCCTTCACAGATGCCTTCACTACATCCTTAGCTGGCCTGAGGATATTTTGAAAGACCCAGTAGTTCCTCGATTTCCAATCCACCAGAGGAGATAGACTGTGAGGCAAACTCCATCATTGTTGGTTGGATTTTGTTTTAGAGAGCATATCTTATTCCACCAAACTTTAAAGCTGTCATTGTCCTGTTCCAGACCATCCCAAGTAAGTGGAGAAAGAGACCAAATCAATTTAGCTCTGGAGCATTGAAAGAACATATGCTCCATTGTTTCAGGTGCCTCCCCACAGTTTTTGCAAGTGGTATCCAAGAAAACTCCTTTTTTGAAAAGGTTACAGTTTGTTGGGAGGAGGTTTGAGTAGCTCTTCCATAAGAAGTGCTTCATCTTACCTTTAACTGTCAAACCGCAACTTCTTTTCCTCACTCTCTTAGCAGTTAGGTGCTCCCAGCTACTCTCAGGGTTATCCATGTGGCTCCATTTTGGATGAATGAGTTTAAGGTATGTCGAAGCCACTGTAAAGTCCCCTTTGGTGTTCCAGTCCCAATAGAGCCTGTCTTTTTCTATAGGTTCAATGCTCTTGATAGCTAAGGTGGCTTCAATCTCTTGCTCACTGAATGTCTCCTTTAGAAGCTCAATGTTCCACCTTCTGGCAGTGCTATCAAGCATGTCCTCTACCAATTTGATTCTAGAGTTTGCTTGTAGGGTTGATGGTTTAAATCCTGGAAGAGAAGGTATCCATGGATGTTCCCACACTTTGGTTGATTTTCCATCCCTTACTTCATGTCTGAGCCCTTTGACCAGTGTTTCCTTGCCCCCATCCAGCTGTTCCAAAGCCATGAGCCTGCTTGTGATTGTTGAGCTGTTAGGATTGTGCCATGTGGATAATACTTGGCCTTCAGTATTTTACTCACAAGCAAGTTAGGTTTGGTGTAGAGCCTCCAGAGCTGCTTGGTTATCAGAGCTTTGTTAAGTAAGTGGATATCTTTGAAGTTCAATCCTCCAAATTCCTTGGGCACTGCAAGTTTATTCCAGGATTTCCAAAATATGCTTTTTCTGTTGTTCCCAGAGTTCCACCAGAATGAAGCAAAAAGCTGAGAAGTAGAGTTACACATGGTTTTGGGCAAAATAAAGCATGACATTACATATATTGGAAGAGCTCCCAACACTGCCTTTAGGAGAACTTCCTTCCCTGCACTAGTCAAAAAATGATTTTTCCAGCTTTGGATTTTTTTTTTCACACTTTCAGAAACAAATGAAAATGTCTCAAGCTTAGACCTACCAATTCCCAAGGGCAATCCTAAATATTTGGAAGAATTATGATGGGATATGCCAAGGAGAGTCTGACAAATAGCATTTTTGAGGGAAGAATCACAGTTTCTACTGAAGAAAACAGTTGATTTCTGAAGATTGACTGTTTGGCCAGTAAAAGTTTGGAACTGAGAGTATGTTCATAAGTAGCCTTGCATGCTAAATATCTGCTTTACAAAAGATAAGTGTATCATCTGCAAAGAACAAGTGAGTGAAAGCAGGGCCATTTTTGCTAATTTTAAGTCCATGAAAGAGGCCATATCTGGTGTATCTTTTAATGAGGTTAGACAAGATTTCAGAGACAAGGATAAATATGTAGGGAGATAAGGGGTCTCCCTGTCTAATACCCTTAAAGGGAGTAAGATATCCTTTAATTTCCCCATTAAAATTGAATGAAAATGAGGCAGAAGAGATGCAAACCATTATCCATTTAATGAATGAGGAGTGAAACCCAAGTTTAACTAGAATTTTCCTAACACAGTCCCATTCCACCCTATCAAATGCTTTTGACATGTCAAGCTTCAAAGCCATGTAACAAATTTTGCCCATTCTATGCCTATTCAGAAAATGAATGGCTTCATTTGCAATTATTACATTGTCCATGATTTGCCTATCAACTACAAATGCAGACTGATTAGCACTGATGCATAAGGGAAGGCAGGGCTTAAGTCATTTTGCAAGAATTTTGGCAATAACTTTGTAAGTGACACTGCAAAGACTTATAGGCCTATATTGGGAAACCGTTTCAGGGTTTTGGCATTTGGAATAAGGGTAATCAAAGAATGGTTGATGCTTTTTAATAACTGACCAGAAGCAAAGAAGCTTTGAACTAAAGCACAAAAATCTGATTTACCAATATCCCAAAAAGATTGAAAGAATGAGGATGTCATCTAATCCTAGAGATTTGTTGGTGTCAATGTTGAATACTGCTTCTCTGATTTCCTTCTCTTCCACAGCTGCAATGAGTTCAGAGTTAAGGTCAGGGGTAATCTTGTGCTGAATCTCTCTCAATAACTCAGTACCATCCACTTGCCCTTGTGAGGTGAATAACTTGGAATAGAACTCTTCCAGACACTTCACCATATCCTCTTTAGTTTCACACACACTGTGATCCTCTTTAATCAGCCTTGTGATTTTGTTCTGAGCTCTTCTTTCCTTAATGCAGGCATGGAAATACCTGGTGTTTTTGTCCCCATTTTTAAGCCAGGTGTTCCTAGCCTTTTGTTTCCAGTAAAGCTCCTCAGATGCATTAGCCTTATCCAGCTGACTTTTAAGTTGATGCCAAAGTGCCCAGTTCCTCTCACTCCCCTGGTTGTTGAGCTCATTCAATTGCTGATTAAGATTTGCAATTTTGGAATAACTCTCAGCTTTGAACTTACTGCTCCATTTGAGAATTTCTACCCTCGTGCCCTTGATTTTCTCCTGAAATTTGAAAATTGGGGTACCAGAGTATGGTTTGTCCCAGGCTGTTGCAATTACGTCCTTAAGTCCATCTCTTAAAATAAATGAAAATTGTTGAAAGAGAACACCCCTAAATTTCTCTTTTTAAAAAATCCCATTTTCGCTAACCCTAAAAGCTCCCCCGTCGAGTTCGCCGTCGCCTCCCCTCCGCAGGCGCTGGCCTGCCGCGGCGATGACTACACTGGGGATCAGCGAGTCTTCTTCTCCGATGGCCCGGCAATCGGCGAGGCGTTTCCTCCAGTCTTGGTAGCCTTGGCATTTCTTCAGCGGAGTCCCGACGTGGGTGGGTGGCTCTTGGTTTCCGTCGCCGTTTCGCTGTCCTTGGGCGGAAGGCGGCTGAGTTTCGTGGCGGTGTTTATCCCCTGGACCATCCTGTCTCCTGGTGCTCGGGCGGATGGCCCGACGATAGGGGCGTTGGGACACCGGTGGGAGGCTTCTGACTGCTCCGGCCGGTTTGGTGTGGGGGGGGTCTCTCCGGCTAAAATTCGTGGTGGGGTCTGCGGGCTTCCGGTAGGAGGAGGCCTGGCTTGCTCGAGTTTAGTTAGGCCTCGTTTGTAGATTGCAGTTTCTAGAATTGGATTGAGTCGGGTCTCTTTTCTCCTATTATGGTCAGTTCGCACGCGTGGTTTGATTGTCTAACTGCGGTTGTGGAGGGCTTATAGTTATTATGTTATTTTGTTGTTGTTTGTTTTGTTTTTTGTTGGTGTGTGCTGTTTGCGGTATGTTGTTTTGTTTTGTGGATTGTGTTTTGTTTTTTCCTCTTTGGAGGACTGTGTTATTCTCCTGTGGGGAGTTTGTGTATTCTTCTGTGGGGAGTTTTTATTTTTTGTGTTATTATCTTGTGGGGAGTTTTTATTTTTCTTTTCGTGTTGTAGTGCGTGTTGTGGTTTATAGGCTACCTTAGATAGTCCTCCCATTCCAGTTTGACCGGTTGTAATTACGTGTTTTATTTAATGAATCTGTCGTTTCGAAAAAAAAAATAAAAGAAATAAATGAGAATTAATGTGGACAGCTTGATCTACTATTCTAACGGCCAAGATGTAGTTCGTCAATTTTGACTTCCTAGTCAATTATTGGTGGCAATTTTGTAATTAGAGATAAATTATGTGGTCAATTGTGCAAGTCTGAGGGTAATTTTGTACTTTCTTAAAAGCAACTTCTCACACCCCAACCCATCACTCACACTCACACTCACACACATGCAAAACACTCAGAAAAACACAGTTTGCTGCCGCCCGCCACTGCCCGTCGCGGCCATTTTAGACGTCGTCTCTTTCACACCCCAACCCATCACTCACACTCACACACACGCAAAACACTCAGAAAAACACAGTTTGCTGCCGCCCGCCACTGCCCGTCGCGGCCATTTTAGACATCGTCTCTTTCACTCTGTGTCTTTATCTCTCTCGCGCTCTCTGCATATCGTCTCATAGAAGTCCCCGCCGTTGGTTAACCCGCATCTCCGCTGGTTTCACGCTCCTCCAGCTGACGTCTCCGGCGTCAACCCACTCCATCACCTTGGCCATCACGCTCATCTTTCTCTCCTCCGCCACCCGACTTATCCCTAAATTGAATCAATATCTCAATAAAAAAAAAATACAAAAATCCTGCACCAAACCCCTAAATTTCAATTTCAGTAATTAGCTTAATCGGTCCATCTATGGACTGAAACAAGCTTCGAGATCTTGAAACATCCGGTTCGATGAAGTGATCCAGTCGTACGGGATCACTCAATGTCCGAATGAGCACTGTGTATACAAGAAATCAGTGGGACCGTGGTGGTGTTTCTTGTGCTCTACGTAGAGGACATACTTCTTATTGGAAACAATGAGATGGAGTTATCAGATGTAAAGGTGTGGTTGTCTAAGTAGTTTGATATAAAGGACTTAGGTGAAGCAGGACACATTCTTGGTATTAGGGTCATTCGAGACCGTAAGAGGATAATGTTATGCTTATCCTAATCTTCATACATAGATAATGTCTTGGCTAGATTCAGCATGCAGGATTCCAAGAGAGGTATATTACCTTCCAGACATGGAATACCTCTATCCAAGAAGATATCTCCTAAGACGTCTCAAGAAGTAGAGGACATGAAGACAGTTCCTTATGCTTCGGCAGTAGGAAGTCTTATGTATGCTATGTTGTGTCCGAGGCCAAATATTAGCTATGCCATTGGCATGGTAGCTAGATATCAAAGTAATTCGGGACGGGAACATTGGTCTGCGGTGAAACATATACTCAAGTACCTCAGAAGGACTAAGGAGTACATGTTAGTTTACCGTACAGACAGCTTGTTCCTCTGGGTTACAGTGATTCCGATTTCTTGCCAGTCAGGGATGAAAGTAAGTCAACCTCAGGGTATGTGTTTACCTTGGGAAGTGGAGCCATTTCATGGTGGAGTGCTAAGCAGAAATGCGTGGCAGACTCCACCATGGAAGCCGAGTACATAGTAGCCTCAGAGGCAGCGAAAGAGGTCGTTTGGCTCAGAAACTTCTTAGTGGACTTAGAGGTGATTCCGAGTTTGCCACGTATTATCACCGTGTACTGTGATAACAGTGGAGCAGTAGCAAACTCAATGGACCACGAGCCCACAGAGCAAGCAAACACATAGAGCGCAAGTACCATCTGATACGAGATATTGTTGGTAGAGGAGACGTTGATGTTCCCAAGATTGTATTCAGATGTATGGCGATAGGATCGACATAGGTCTTTTAGAATAACAGATTGATAGAACTATACTTGTAAAAGCGAAAGCTTTAAGTATAAGTCGGAGATTGTTAGTGTTATATACTGAAAGCTTGGCTTTGGATGATATTACACTTTTACCCTTTATGAATGAGAATCATGTTAGATTAAACAAGTTCTATGTTATGTTGTTTTGCACTTAGATAGAATGG